TAAGGAAAGACAAGAAATCATTAAAAAATAAAGACAGCGAACGGGATAAAAGTAGGCGTGGAAAGAAAGCTTAAAATGCGACGAGCCTTCCTGCCCCTTGGCACTGTGAGCAGGTCACTGGCGGGCAGGCGGCAGGACGATGGCGGGGTGGGGGGGGGCTGTGTCTGGGGTGTCAAATAGGTGTCAGGTTGGTTTCAGCGATGGACCAGTCCTGAGCTCACGGCATCGGGGAGGACGAGAGATGAGAAGGAAGCGGGTTTGTGTGTCTCAGCCAGCCAGCCCTCCACCTCCCCTCTCGTTTCATTGCAACCTGCGCACGTTAAAAAGGTTGCTTGCTACACTGCCTTTCCCGTGGCCGTGGGAAGGGACATGGGGAAGCTACACACAATCCTCTTACTCAGGCTACAGCACTGCAGGTGCAAAGAAAGGGTAAGGATCTCTAGGTAATTCTGCTCCGGATGCATGCAGAAGAATTGCATTGGGGCAGGCAGGAGAATAAAAAAAAAAAAAAAAAAATTGCATATTTGTGGTGTTCTCACCAAGACCTTTCTACTTCTTAAAGAAGAATAAAGTGTGTCCACCTCATCTGTAAGTGCACATAAGGGAATGAGACAGCCCTTCTCTCTCAACCTCATTTTGCAAGCTACACTGGGTGCATGTGAAAGCAGATTCAAATGCGACGTGTTGCTACTTTGCTTCTAGTAGCAGAATTAAGCTGACTACAAATCTGAGGGAAAAGTGCGCTGTTTTTTGATCAGATAAAACTTTCCAGAAGGACTCTGAATCAGGGAAGTCTCTTTCCCCCTCCCCCACAAAAGAAAAGTTTGACCTAGAATCCGACGTCAGAAAACTCCTCTTTATATTATCACAGGAGAGGAAGGAAAAGAAACAGAATTACCCAGTTCCATAAAAACAGACCAGGGAATTAAGAGGTCACAAGAGCATTAAGAAGCATTCTCCTTTAATAATTCCAGCAAGTCTGCTGGAAAACCCCTAGACATTATAACACATTTCAGAGTTGTAGCTGTTAACACATCCATGAAAAGCATTGCTAATAAGGCAAGAGACAGGAATCTCTGCTGGCTTTTTTTTTTGTTTGGGTTTTTTTTGTCCACCAGCTTCTTGGACTACCACTGAAAAATCCGTATCTCTGTGCTTTTAGTGCAATGTAAAAAGCAGATGGTATCTCCTTTTCTTGCAGGAGCGCTTTGACAAAAAAACATTTGAGTACTATTCGTATATTACAATCAGTAAGCTTAGAAATGTTAACTAATAAGTTCAATGTGCAATATCTATAATAAATTTTCTCTCAGATTCTTAATTATATTTTCAGAATACACAGTGCAAGCTTCCTGTGTTACTGCAGTGGGGAGATTCTCTTTTCAAGGTAAGCCTTGTACATCTCTGCAGAGGAAGGACTTTGGCCTTGATATTAAACTCTGAAAGCATTGAAACAGTATCCTGCCAGCCTGAACTTTTAACATTTGAATTTACGTCAGTGAACATTGGTGGAGCCGTTTTGGATAACTTTGGATTTCTGCGTCAACTCGATCCTGCTTGGCTGCCAGGGTTACTTTATTGAAATACTAGATACTCAAAACCCCATAAACAAACTACACAAGATCAGAATGCTCCAACTATGATTAAAGGTAAAAATTATACCCATAGTAAGCCTGAGGAAGCCAACATCCACGATACTTTCTCATTTTAAAATTGTAAGTAAATGTAACTTTTACAAATAAGAAGCCTGATTTTAACTAGATATGTTCCATTATCTTTGAAATCCAATAATTTGTATTAATGCTTCAGCTAACATTGAAAAGCATAAGCAATAATTTCAAAATATGGCAGTTGTTACAGAAACACAAACAAAATATTGTACATTTTTCCCTGTGCTTTCTGGTTACGTGATCAATCATACTTAGTAGCACTTACTCTATAATTCCTCCCTCACATATATATGTATTTAATATATGTGAATATATATTAAATTGCATACAGCTTAATTCACAAACTATATAAATGGAGCTGTGTGCAATTTTTTAAGGTAACCATATTTATAGGTAGTCAGCCTATGTCATTCATGTCAAATTTAACAGTATGTTAGCAAAACAAATAGTTCTGGAATTCAGGTTATTTATTGCCTTAGATCTCTGGTCAGGATCTATGTTTTTTTCCAGAGTATGAGACTTTACGATAATAGGTTTCTGATTCATAAATCAAAGCTACCATGTGCTATCACAAGAAAAACATCGACACAAACTCTCGTAGAAACAGTCCTTTTCAGAAAAACTTAGCCTTGTGGTTTAGCATGAACTGTAATTGGTATTTGAGAATCAAGCAACAGAATACCAAAGCCTAGCACCTAGCATACAGATTTGACAATATTGTTCAGTATTAGTACATCCTTTTGAAGAAGAATATATTGGCTCTATCTAGAGTGGTAAAATCCACTCCTTTTGCTTGTGCCAGAAGTCGAGCGTATTCATGAAGATCCACTTGTATATTTAAGAATACTTCTTCCACATATATCCTCATCCATGCCTACCAGAGTGATGTCCTTGCATAATACTTTCTATATGCAAAAGGGGAAAAAAACCCCCAACAAAACCCGCAAAACAACAAACAACAATATAGTAATGATACATCCAAGACCATTTTAGGAGTGATCTATACCATTAATGGAACAGTTCTGGCCTCTATTTCTCACACTAGGACATCTTTTGTACTAGTTAATGTACTCATTTTCTAACTGACTGTAAAAGTACACGTGATTCTCTATGCTCTCTAACATGCTATAAGCTTTAGTCTTAACCATTAGAACAGGCTCCTCTCCATCATTTCTGCTTCATGAAGATGGTGTCTATAATTATTAAAAAAACCTCTCAAACTCCACAAAGTGGCCAATTTTACTGCTTCTAATGGTAATCTGTTGCCCGGCCTTTTGTGCTATGATCTACTGTTTGTCCAGATTCTAACAGCCTAACTCACCCAGGATCTGGAAAATGGACATTGCAGTTGCACAAACCAGCTGTGCGTGTACACTGACTACTATATGCGCAGGAAATTTCATGTGCCCATACACCATGTATCTACAGTGTGTTTGTCTTGCACCGCACACTTTGGATCTGTAAAGTGTTGAATTTTTTTCAACAATTCAGACTGTTTTTCTACGGCTATTACAGCTCTAAAACATTTTGCTAATGATAGTACAGAGCAAAAAAAAACTTACTTTGTAATTTGCAAGCAGAATGTGCTTTCAAGTACAGTTTGCAACTAATATGTTCTCTAATACAGAAACATCCGCTACCAGTAACAAAATGATTCAAACATTCAAATCTTCAAATTTGCTATTATTTCTGTTTTCTTCTGTTTAAACCACACTTAGTTCAGTATCAGTTTGGCTGATTTAATAGTAGTTGTTCCATGTTCTCTAGATAGTCTGTCAATGCTAGTAGGAAGGCTAATGGTGCATGTTTAACTTCCAAATACTTTGCAGGATGAGAATAAAGGTACTATTTAATTCCTTTCACTCAGATTTGCTTAAAACACAACTCAGATTTTGTACCTTAAATAACATTCTTTGCCCTCTGAAATCTTAAATGTTAAATTGCTATTCTTTCATGTTTTTGGAGTTACCACAAAATGAAGCCACATGAAGTATGTTTTACTCCAGTGTTTCACTATTTAGGGAAAAGTGAATCAGTAAGATCAATCTATAACGCGATCATATAGCAGTTGAAATGCACCAAATTTGTTTTGAAAGACATCATGTGAGCAATCTAAATCTTTGCAAGCTATCTTAACTGAGAAACATGATCCTCACTTTTTGCCTTTCATAGTATGAATTTTCATTTGCAGGTAGGGTCAATCACAAGCTCCATCCTCCATCGATGATTAGTTCATTACCAGTCACATAGGCAGACTGAAATTACATAAAATTAACAATAATTTAACTAATTTTTCATGGCTGTTAAGTACAGGGAAACACTTTTTCTTTAAATTCAAAAAACTGCTTTCTTTTTATACAAACACTTTTTTTGTTTTACAAAAATATCTGAATAAATAGAATATAAACAAAACTTAGAAATGGAAGCCTTTCAGCTAACTCAGGGGAGTGTAGCAAAAGTATTATTAGAGGCATTAAGATCAGAATGCATCCTGAGTGTACAAATTCACATAAGCTAGACTTCAGATATCTCACCTGCAGGAATAATACCTCACACTATGATGTTATTAGCTCTGTTTAGCTCAGCAGAATCTGACCAGGTCGGCTAGTAATTATAAGGGGACCTAACTGAAAATTTAGATGGTGCAGAAAAGTGAGGTAAGCAACTGAGCTGTTGACGTTCTTCTCTGTATGCCAGTACTGAAGCATACTGGAATATACTGGAAAACTGGAATTCTGTCTACACAAAAAATCAGTAGCTTTACAGAAACACTAAAACTAAGATGAAAATGAGAAACAGATTACTGATCGATAGCAACATTAAGATTGAATTAATACCATTAAAGTATTCTGTTATGCTCAGTAGGACTGCTGGACAAGTCCAGAGGAATCCAGTCCAATTTTAGATTCGGGCATCTGAAATAACCTTGATGTGTGCTTATTAGTGTTGGTGGTATTTGCAGCGGTCATTAAGAGTTTGGTCTATAACAACCTCAGGGGGTCTATTGTTTTCCTTATGCCGAAAGGGCAGATTTACTCTGAGCATTAGCCCTTTTAGCTAAAATCTCCAGCAGTTCTACACAAATATTTGCTCTTGAATAGTGAAGGTAGGTGATGACTACTAATTCTCCTTAAAACATAACCTAGCCATGGTGCAAACCTGGAAAATCAGACAAGCCCATTTCTCCTATCACTCAGGATGAACTAGGGTCAGTCAATTTGCTCAGATGACTTGAAACCACCAGGCTATGTTACCAAATATGTAATGCCTTAACAATCACTGTCAACATTGAGTACTTTTTGCTACTTTCGTAGGTTGAACTCTGTAAAAGATGGTCAGCTTTTTAATTTTGTAATAATCCATCTCAAAGACAACATAAATCCTCCTAAAACAAATTCCCTCTATTGTGATGGAGCAAAGTAGCATGGGATTCTGTGACGGGAAATTTTATCGTTCCATACTTACTTCATCAGAGGCCAAGTACACAAAGAGATGGGCCACTTCTTCAGCAGCAGCCATCCTACCAGTCTTCTGTCTGGCTAGAAAGTCTTTCAATGCCTAGATATATAAGAGCATTTGGTATATTAAAAAAACCAAAACAATTATTTTAATCCAATTAGTCTGACATGTACAAAGCAATACTGGAAACAGGCCATAAGTCATAACTTCCTTTAGTACACTGGGTAGGGAATTTATGCTAGAAAAAGAAATTGGAAGATTAACAGTGGTATGAATTTCAGTTTGAAAAGTAGTAGGAGACTGGACCTAAATCTCTGGTTGCAGAATAAAGCCAACGTAAGTCCTCCTTCCTTTGGTGGTAGATATTCCCAGGCCCTTCAAATAAGGGCTCACAGTTATCTAGTCAGTATGGTTAAGGATCCCAAATAATTTTGAAATGCATAGGCCAGAATGCCCTTTCTGTCATGGTTTTGCACTACTCTGTGGCTGCCACATGCCACAGTAGAAAATGTCTTCTACTGTTGCACTAAATACTGTAACCAATGCTTGCAAATACTTCCATAGATGACAGACCCTCTGTGTTCACTAAGCAATAGTATCCTCCTGAGGCATTTTAAGACTTCTGTCTTGAGTAAAAACTGATGAAACTATCAAATAAGACACTACTGTTATGTTATCATTGGTACTCTGAAATAGGGGAATCTTGAATCAAGGCAGAAACACGCTTTTTTTTTTTTTTTTTTTTTTTTTTTTTAAGTGAGTTAAATATATGTATGCACATGATCAAACTAATAAATTGCTTTCTCACCTGTTCTGGGTTAGGCTGGGCTTGGATTCTTTCCTGTAAAGATGGTGTATCAACAGTTCCTAAGAAAAATTTTAAATTCAATGTTAAAAATCAACTGCATCAACAATGATGACAAAAAATGCAGTTCATAAGTGTTAAGACATACAAACAGAACTAACGTATAACTTCATCATATGATTCAGGAGCATGCTGGTTTTGGCTGGGGAAGAGTTAATTTTCTTCACAGTAGCTAGTATGGGGCTATGTTTTGGATTTGTGCTGGAAACAGTGTTGATAACACAGGGATGTTTTCATTACTACTGAGCAGTGCTTACACAGAGCCAAGGCCTTTTCTGCTTCTCACACCACCCCACCAGCGAGTAGGCTGGGGGTACACAAGAAGTTGGGAGGGGACACAGCTGGGACAGCTGACCCCAACTGACCAAAGGGATACTCCACACCATATGATGTCATGCTCAGCATATAAAGCTGGGGGAAGAAGGAAGGGGGGGACATTCGGAGCGATGGCATTTGTCTTCCCAAGTAACGGTTACGCGTGATGGAGCCCTGCTTTCCTGGAGATGGCTGAACACCTGCCTGCCGATGGGAAGTAGTGACTGAGTTCCTTGCTTTGCTTTGCTTGTGTGCGTGGCTTTTGCTTTCGCTATTAAACTGTCTTTATCTCAACCCACAAGTTTTCTCACTTTCACTCTCCTGATTCTCTCCCCCATCCCACTGTGAGGGGAGTGAGCAAGCAGCTGCGTGGGGCTTAGTTGCCAGCTGGGGTTAAACCATGACAAGGAGAAAGACTGCAAAACTATCAACAGAGCATAGGACTTTAAATTTCAGTAAAAGGCAAGACTTTTGAGAATCATATTCAATACTCTTCAGATGGTTAAACAATGGCTAGCCTGTTAGCTAGCCCGTGTCTGCTTCTAACTTCCAGACTATGTCTTTGAAAATAAACATCCAAATAGTGTGTAATGCATATATAATGTGCATGTGCTGGGTTAACAGACTAAACATGCAGCTTTACTATTAAAGTAACAACTTTTCTATTTTAAATCTCAGAAGTGTTTCAAGCATGTCCTGTTCTTTTTGATTGCCAATAACTTCAGTTGCCACTTGCAATTCTATTCTTTGTTAATAATATCAAACTGAATCTGGCCTTCTAGCACCTGCTCCCAGTTTACAAAATAATGTAAGAATACTTACCAGGACATATGCAGTTGCATCTGATGCCTTGTTCAATGAAATCAGCAGCCACAGACTTTGTTAGACCAATAACTGCTGCCTTTGAAGTACTATATACACATCTGTTCACAACTCCTAACAGAAGGTCAGTGTGAAGGCAGCGTAGAAACATATTTAAAAAAGAAAAGAAAAAGAGACCCAAGTTTGTTCAATATGCACCTGCTTCTGGACTCCAGCATTTCCTGTACCACCTGTAGTGTCTCCATAAGGGCAGGCTAACTAGAATGCTGACTGCCAGAATTCTACTCAGGCATACACCAGAGCAAAGCACACGATCTTTCAATAGTATAAGTTTGGGGAGTAGGCTAGAAAAGTTAGCAAAGCAAACAAAGATTTAGGAAGAGCAGAGACCCATCTGTTAGTCACCATCAGGTTTCCTTACAACGCTTACGTAACTGTCATTTCTTCATTGTTTCTCTGAAGAACATTACTTCAGAATTACTCTGAAGTAATTCCTTTTTAGTTAATACAAACTGGTAAAAAGGATGCTACAAAACATTCAGGGGACAGATTGAAAAGCTCGAAGGCAAAGATCTTAGTGTTTCTGCAATTTCCCATTTATGTCCCTGCATGTTTGTACAAGTTGATGTGGTTTTTTAAATTACATCTCTCCACAGGATTGGTAGTGTCCTCTAAATTCAAAGTTGTGCAATATTTATTTTGCCTTCCCATCATTTTAAAGATCCATACAGAATTCTCTAGCAAGCTACTGACCTTTAATGCTGGATGCCACAGAAGACATATTTATAATATTTCCAGATTTCTGTTTAAGCATCTGCAAAAGAATACTTACGTCATTCAAATTCAAACTATTTTGTAATCTGCAGGTCCAGCAAAATGGGCCATAACAACCTGCAGAACAGCCCTACATGCAATTGACACACAGGGTAACAAAGCTTAATTGGCATGAATAGGTGCTTATCTCTTTTTGATCTAAGCAGAATCTAAAATTTTCACTAGGTTCTCCTAAGTCATCTCAGGGGTAAAGACTATGACAGGAAAGGATTTTTTTCCTAGATAGCCAACCTCTGAATCATTGTCCTCTTGTCACCACAGTAAGTTACCCTACATAGACATCTGCTCATGCCATCTACCAATGCACTAATTCACTTCTCCATTGCTTTGGACAAGACTAAAACACAACTCTCTAGTATCTTTGAATTGTAGCTAAATTTCTTTAAGTTATAATCTTTTTAGGCATCTGTCCTGGTTTTGACTGGGATAGAATTAATTTTCTTCCTAGTAACTGGTATAGTGCTGTGTTTTGGATTTAGTATGAGAATAATGTTGATAATACACTGATGTTTTAATTGTTGCTAAGTAGTTGTAGTGCTTATACTATGTCAAGGACTTTTCAGCTTCTCATGCTCTGCCGGGTGCACAAGAAACTGGGAGGAGACACAGCCACGACAGTTGATCCAAACTGGCCAAAGGGATATTCCATACCATATGATGTCATGCTCAGTATATAATATATATGGGGGGAGTTGGCCAGGGAGCAATGACCGCTGCTCGGGGACTGCCTGGGCATCGGTCGGTGGGTGGTGAGCAATTGTATTGTGTATCACTTATTTTCTATATTCTATTATTATTATTATTTTCCCTTCCTTTTCTGTTCTATTAAACTGTCTTTATCTCAATCCATGAATTTTACTTTTTTTTTTTCCAATTCTCTCCCCCATCCCCCTTGGGGGCAGGCAGTGAGCAAGCGGCTGTGTGGTCTTTAGCTACTGGCTGGGGCTAAACCACGACGGCATCTCAAAACCCGAGATGCCTGAAGTTGTTATAAAGAACCTTTGAAAATGAAGATCAGCTAAGAAAAAAACAAACAAACAAAAACCAACCGAACAAAAGGACTGGAACAACACTGAAGAGAGTAGTCATCATCCAGTTGTGGTCACAGCTTCCACTTCTGGCCTTTGCATTTACAGGAATACAAACACCTTATTCAGTCCACAAATTTTTGTAGTCGCGAACCTACTTACTACGTCAAACACAACAAGTGTCCTCAAGCTGCTAAACTGTCTAATTGGATTGTTGTTCTGATATAACCAGCATGTTGGCATCAGTGGCACTGAATTGCTTCACAAGATAGTTTTCAGATTTGGATAAAATTCATATGAATAGACATATTTTATAAATATTTTGTAGCAGTGGTATTGTGCAGCTGTGTGCTATAGTATAATATGGTAGCACTGTATTGCAATGGCTCCCTCACTGCTCCGCGTTTGAAGGATTTTTAGTTACAAATTGCACGGGGGAAAACCCCTGAATTAATCTTCTCTACCATATCCTTTAGATAGATTGTCTACTTGAAGGATTACACAATGCAGAGTCTGTTTTAGAGTAGGATTGCTATAATCTAAGGGCCTCCCCTATACAAAGCAGCATACTTGCCTTTTTATCTCAAACCCCATGCTGTCACAGTGGCAACAACTTAGACCTCTCACACTTTAAATACAATGCAGCAGAGACTAAAAATCATGGGCAACAAAGCCTTACCTTAGGAAGGAATGTCTTGATCATTAGATACATGCTGCGAACATTGAGGTTCATAGTGAAGTTCCAGTCTGGCTCCTCACATTCCAGAATGGTCCCATGATGAACAAATCTAGAATAAGTGCACGAAGTGGATTACTGTCTGTGGTTTACATTTCTATGACTTTTTACACATATTTTCCCATTGCTATTTTGTAATAGCTAACCTTCCAACCTTGAAAAGGAGGGACAAAACCTCTTTTGAAGAAAGCAAGCAACAATGTATTTCTTCTGATGAGTATCAGGGACACAAGACAGATCTAATATGTGCAAAGAAACGTTTGGTAATAGGGAAATTAAAAAAGATAGTGCACTGACAGACCATCAACATTGCTCACTGTTGTGCCAGGAAT